GAAAATGCCCTCAGCATGCATATCACACGAGATGACTCCTGTTATCAGAAGTCCTGTTGTGGTCAGGAACTATACATATTTCAGAGAACTTGAGATAAATTGCACCTTTCTCGACATGAATATCATCCCATCTCTAGCACAGCCACGTAACACAAATGCTCAATCTCTTAACACACTACAGGCAGAGACCACCACGACTGTCCAAGCCAGAAATGCGTGAAGGGTCGAGGTGAAGCAAGCTTGGTCTGCGGCAGCTGCCGTATCTCGGAAGACCAGAGCTGGTATCACCGAAACTGAYAGTTTCCAAAGGAAACTCCGACGTGTATCTAATTGCCGTCTCCAGTCCTCTGCTCCCCTCACCCGGAGGAAAGACCCACACTTACTCGTTGGCCCTTGGGTTCCACAGGCGCTGCACAAGCAACCCTGTTTTCCAGCTGGACGCTGAGAGCGGATAGTTCACGACTCGAAATTTCAAAGCCGAGCCAACGAAGGCACAAAAATGGGACTTGCCGGTGATCACCACGGAACAGCAGTTCTGGACTCCGGATCGTGGCGTTCCCAATTTCCGCTAGTCCAACTACAAGGAGGACACCAGTTTGAGTCGGACCCTGCAGTGTACTTCCGGCGCTCTCTCAGAAACCTTCCGGCCGCACTTCCTCTACTTTGTCCGTTCCTCTAACTTGTCCTACCGSGGGGTCCGTCAGACCCAAGTCCTTGGGTTCTAAGTACCGGGTAGTGAACAAAGGAAGTATCCTGTTCGGAAGCTTCTCTCTCTCAGACTGGAGGAGCAGCCCCAGAAGCGAGACCACAGAGGGCAGCCTGGCTTTCCGCCAGGGGCCAAAAAAGAGCGGCTAGTGTCTACAAGACTAAGATGTAGGGCAATCCAACTCTATGGCCCTCAGCGGCTAGAAGTGCCCAATTACTTTTTTAAGGCGGGTCTTGAGACGACCCGGAAGCGGAAGTCGAAGAAAGTTCTAGTGGCTTGAGGTATCAGCGGGAGCGGCCGAGTAGCAAGCGCAACCGTTACTGGAGCCGGAGCTGCCTGTGAGCGTGAGCCTCCCAGCGGGGCCCTAGCTGGAGGCTGGAGGAAGGGCGGGGAGGAGGGGAGGAAAGGGACCCCATTGCTGTGGCGAGCCAGGGAGTGCACCCTAGGAGAGGGTTCGGCCGCGGGGAGGAGCCGCGCTTGGCGCGTGGGAGCGGCGGAGCGTGGAGGGGGCGGGGCGGCGCGCGCCGGAGGCGGGGCGAGGCCGGCTGGGGCGGTGTGAACCCTGCGGGGCMGCGCGAGCGGGGGTCGGCGCCGCGGGCCTGCGCCTTCGCTCTGAATGCCGTGTGAAGGGCGGGTGAGGCAGAGACCCTGTTCTGKTTTTTCACACCGCACGGCTGCTGGAGCAGTGTCAGTGTCATCTTTGCGCAGCCAAGGTCACCGAGAGTGTCAGCTCTAGAGCGTGTCCTGGGCGTCTTTCTATTGCCCTGCGTGCGCCACCTGTTAGAGCTAGATTGTTTCTATTGGGACTGCACGGAAACCTGGTTCCCCCAGGGAGTGGAAGACATTTCTTTTCTGAATAGTAGGGAGATTGTCCCTGGTTCTCAGTTTTCTCTGTGAAATGAGGGATTTCACCATAATGGCCTACCTACGTTTTAATATGASATTGCTCTTGAACCTTTGGGAGCTCAGGTCCTCAGCCCTAACTTGCTTTTTCTTGGGATTCCTAGATTAAGCTCGATCAAGATGACAACCTCCCAAAAGCATCGAGACTTCGTGGCAGAGCCTATGGGGGAAAAGCCAGTGGGGAGCCTGGCTGGGATTGGTGAAGTCCTGGGCAAGAAGCTTGAGGAAAGGGGCTTTGACAAGGTGTGGGTTGGCTAC